GACATCACAATTCACAGCAGCCTCCAACTCCTGGGCTCAAGTGAGTCTCCTGCCTCTGCCTCCCAAGTAGCTGGGACCACAGGTGCCTGCCACAATGCCCAGCTATTTTTTGGTTGCAGCCATCATTGTAGTTTTGGTGGGCCTGGGCTGGATTTGAACCCGACACCTTAGGTGTATGTGGCTAGTGCCTTAGCCACTTGAACCACAGGCGCCAAGCTGGATTGCTTAGTATTTAAGAATTTTTAGTTTCTAATATTTTATAACTTGGAGATTTACATAAAAATCCTGATTTCTGGCTTCTTTTCAGATGGCAGAAAGGAAGTTCTGATTTTTTTTTTTTGGTAGTTCATTTGGCAATTATTGGATGGATCCTACTAGTAGTGACTGCCTGCATTCTCTCTAGTTCCCACAACTCTTAATATCCTGCGTGTCTTTCTGTAGGCGTTTGTGTTTGTAGCCTCCTTTATAAAAACTTTCAGTGGTGGGTACCACAGTAGAGAATTACATTGCTTTGTGTGTTTAAAGAGGAACTGATTTTATCTGAAATGATTTCAATTTTGTAATTCTGTGACCCAGCCAGTCTGATTTTGATAATTTTTTTTAAAGGGAATCACCAAGACTATTTTAAATTGCTTCAATGTAGCAAGTAACTCTGATAAAACTGTACTTTTTTTGTAGTTTAATAGAGCATAATGTTCATCTTGTATGATTTGAGAAACCAGGGAACACACAGATATTTTTGAAGCTTAAAAAAAATCTTTTATTACAATGAGAGGAATTGTGTAAACTACTCATGTCTTGTGGATTGAAGTGTAGAGTGTTTTGTTGATGGTCAAGGCATTTATTTATAACAGTGTATGCAGTTGCAAATTGTAAGGTGACATAAAATTGATTCTGAAGGATTATCTTAGCTGTAGTTAGAAAATGAGGTTTTAAACTACGTATGTAGTGATTTTTACAAGTAATTTTATTTTAATTTTTCTTCATAAGCTTTTGTTAATACAAAAGTATTGACAAGGATGTAGATAAAAAGGGAGTTCTTTTTTTTTTTTTGGTAGAGACAGAGCCTTACTTTATCACTCTCAATAGAGTGCGTTGGTGTCACAGATCACAGCAACCTCCAACTCCTGGGCTTAGGCAATTCTCTTGCCTTAGCCTCCCCAGTAGCTGGGACTATAGGCGCCCGCCATAATGCCCAGCTATTTTTTGTGGTTGTTGTTGTTGTTGCAGTTTGGCTGGGGCTGGGTTTGAACCCACCAAACCTGGTATATGAGGCCAGTGCCCTATAGACTGAGCCACAGGTGCCGCCCAAAAGGGAGTTCTTGTACATTATTGGTGGGTATATAATGTAAAATCTTATGGAGATTCCTTAAAAAGTTAAAAACAAAACTACCATATGATTTAGTAATACCATTTCCAGGTAAGTATTCAAAGGAAATAAAGTTAGTATCTTTTTTTTTGGAGACAAGAGTCTCACTTTGTCATCCTCCGTAGAGTGCTGTGACCATTACAGCTCACAGCAACCTCCAGCTCTTGGGCTTAGGCGATTCTTTTGTCTCAGCCTCCCGAGTAGCTGGGACTATAGGCACCCACCACAATGCCTGGCTATTTTTTGTTGCAGTTTGGCCAGGGCCAGGTTTGAACCCACCACCCTCGATATATGGGGCTGGGGGCCTACCCACTGAGGCAAAGGCACCACCCTTAATTAGTATTTTGAAATTAAGAGAACCACCAAAAAAGAAAAAAAGTGAAAAGACATAACATTTGACTTAACTCAAATATTCACAAAAGTTGTATTCATATTGGGTAAAAACTGGAAAAAAGCCAAATGTCCATGAACTGGTGAATGAATAAACAAATGGTGATAATATCATACAATTGAATGGTCTTCAGCAATAATGAACTAACTACAATTGTACGTGGATGAATCTCAAAAGCATTATGCCAACTCTAAGATGCTGGATACAAAAGAATATGTACTGGATAATTTCACTTATATTAAATTCTAGAGAAGACGAAACTGTAGTGATAGAAAAGAAAATCCATGGTTGCCAGAGCCATGGCTGCAAGGGAGCATAAGGATATTGGAGGGTAGAGAGGACAAATTTCTTTTTTTTTTTTTTGAGACAGAGACACTTTGTCACCCTTAGTAGAGTGTTGTAGCTGTCGTAGCTCATGGCAACCTCAAACTCTTGGGCTCAAGCAATTCTCTTGCCTCAGCCTCCCAAGTAGCTGGGACTACAAGTGCCTGCCGCAACATGGGGCTATTTTTTGGTTGTAGTTGTCATTGTTGTTTGGCAGGCCTGACTGGATTTGAACCCGCCAGCTCTGGTGTATGTGGCTGGTGCCCTAGCCGCTGAGCTACAGGCACCAAGCCAATAAAATTGTTTTTAAAAATTGCAAATATTGGCCAGGTGTGGTGGCTCACACCTGTAATAATAGCACTCTGGGAGGCCAAAGTGGGCAGATTGTTTGAGCTCAGGAGTTCAAGACCAACCTGAGGAAGAGTGAGACCCTCTCTTTAAAAATAGCCGGGTGTGGCTCGGCGCCTGTGGCTCAAGAGGCTAAGGCGCCAGCC